GAATCTCATGTATGTGAATTGTATCGCTGAAATCACATCAGGATTGGCCTGAGGGAAGGACAGAAAGTAAGAAACCAAGACTTAATTTAGAATGATGCAGTCAGGTTGCTATCAGTCAGTGTTACTGGATGCATGTAGCAACTAGATCATTGTCCATCATATTTTGACTTCTGTTGAGATCTGCTGTACATAAAAATTAGCATATCATTCATCACATCTCTGCCACACAAATTGACTTGGGGTGGCCTACACAAAACCTTCATTGATCACTAATAACAACTACACTCCACTGCTGATGGCATCATGATGTACTGTACCAATGGTACAAAGGAATTGTTTGCTTGATAAACATTGATTCCTGTCTGTTTTTCAACAGGATTGACATTCAACTGCTTGAATAGCCACATCACCAGTGCCCAATCTGACATGATTTGGTGCTTATACAGCAAAGTCACTTGAGTGTGTCAAGGTCAGTCATAAAAAAATCATTGAATCAAAATTAAGACAAATTTAATCAATACCTTAAATCCATATATTGTGTCTTTCTAAAATATCTGCATAGTGATCTTTTTTTTCTGATGAGTATATTACAATTACAAATGTATGTTAAATATTTTTTATGCTTGCTTGTCATTGATCAGAATTTCTTTGTCAGCTTGCAAAACGGACAAGTAATACAGCAAAAGGTCTTTGTCCTTGGATAACCTATAACTTAAATGTATTCCCTTTACAGATCTAGTGTAAGATAATTGGAAATAATAAAGTAATATTTTCATCCAGAGGTCACACAACGCTGTGAAGAGCTATTTCATGTCCTGCATTTTCTTCAAATGTTTAAAAACAGCAACAGAATATGGCCTACGTCCATTTGTGGCCATTTGTTGGCATTAGTATAAGAAAGTGCCATGTACTGTAACAGATGATATTGCCATTAATAGTTTGAGTTAGAGTGGCACAAGAACCTTTGGGATGAGACAATTCATTCTTTCCATTTCCTTATCCAAAGTGTGACATCGTAAGGGCATCCTTCCACTTGTGCTAACCAGATGTTCTCACAACATTGACGGACAGATACTGCACCTCAATAGCACAGTAACACACCACAACGTCAAAACTGATTTTTCAGCTGCCTTTTAGTGTTGGTGTAAAGCTTTTCCAGAACTCAGATGTTGTTTTTTGCAGAGAAGGATGTATGAACTTTTGGAATGATCAGATAAAATGGGAAATGCTTGACTTCAAAGGATGTCCTATCGGACCTTGAAAAGACAACGTGAGTGTATTACAAATACAATTGATTCAAACACGTACAGATATGTTTCATAACTAATCTTTTTTTTTAAAGATTAGTTATTTAATCTTCAGCAATGCATGTAATATAATGTAAAATCTATTCTACTGTTCATACATAAAATCATGATGTAATAACCATTTTAATGATAACTATAAAATAATTCAAGAGACGTTTCTATGGGCTATTTTTTAAAATAATTATTAATACTATTAATATTAATACTATATAATAATTCTATAATAATGTTTTTAGTTAAATATTAAGAGACTGCATTGTGGAGACAGTAGTGAAATAATACAGCTCATTACATATCTTTGAGAAACCCATAGAGGTGATAGGTATTGGTGCATTATTTGCAAAATACTTTTCATGCATCTCATAAGATACAAAACCCTGAAATGTCACCTCATTGCATGGAAAAGGCAACTGCTTTATAATTTTACAGGAATTTTGCTCTATTTTCAAAGAGACTCGGGGGCTGGAATGTTTAAATTATGGGCCATTACCTAAGAATAGTGAAAGTGATATAGGCATATTTATGATATGATTAATTTAATCAAATGGAAAAAGTGAGTTCTTATAAAGCCAGCATTGTACTTTAAATTACTTTTGTTCTATAATTGTGAAGAACAGAACATGCTTGTCTGATTATGAGGCAAAAGAATAAATTTGAGATATAGTAAATTCAGTTGACAGGTAGTTGCGATAATGATCTGTATTTAATCCCTATATTTTGTAGCTGTCCTAAAGTGATTACACATTGTCAGCAACAAAAGATAAAGATCAAAATATCACTATAGAAAAGTAAGATTAATACATACAAAAACTCCCTAGTCTCATTTCTTTCACAAAATGGAAGTTTTGCCCTGCAAAACACATTGTAATTAATCAATTTGTTTTTCATTTAGAGGTCAACAAATCAAAGCATCATCTGCAGCAGTAGCAGGTGGCCAAGGAGGTGACAGGGACTTGATAAAATGAATCTAGAATATGTTGAAATTGTATGAAGGGCTTATACTGGCCCCTGCTGACAAGTTATGGTACAACTTTGGTTCTTAAGTAGGCTTCCTTCTGCCTTTGAAGAGGCTTCACACATTCCCTCTGGGTCAGCTTTCCCATGTAGAAAGCTGCATGTTTCCCTAGCGAAATCAGATCTGTGCTCCAGAACACGTGTTGATTGAAGCTAACTTTTGACCTTTAGAAGGTTAAGAAAAGGTGAGGACTTTTGAAGCTAGCATACAGCAGTGTATCCCAACATTTTTCAGCCTAAGACTTAAATGAAAGCATGTATACTGTATACATCTGCGAGGGTGTCTCTGCTGAAACATTATGTGTTTCATTTTTAGAAAGCTAAATAAGCAGTCCTGACAAACGAGTGGGTAAATCAAAACAAGAAAATAAACCCCAAATAATACAAGCCTAATTAGCAATAAAAGGCAAACAAAAAGCTTCAGATGTGGAGGCTAATAAAAGCAACTATTATTTTTATCATCTTACACAAACCACAGTTTGATCCTTGCTAGCAGAAGATAGTCTCAGTATAACATTAGACATGTAGAACACGAGTCTTGCTTAGTTAAGTCAATTAATGAAAACTATAAATTGTTTAACCTGGCATTTTGTTTTTCTCCAAATGTTCATTTTGGAAAACAGCACAGTGGTGTTTGTTGAGGACGATTTTTATTATCCCAACATAAAATTGTTGGGATAATGCAGGCTTTAAACAAAATTCAATTTTATTTAAAGTCTGCATCAAAAGTAAACTTTGACCAGGCCACCATGTATTTTTTTAGTGAATTGTCTCTGGAACTCGTGCAGCAGGTTGTCAAATTACTGGGTTTCCTATTGTCTTGTTGGAGCAGATCCCATCTCAGTTGTAAATTAAAGTTTTCTTACAGAGACAGATTTAGGATGTTTTTTAAGGTCTTTTATGATGGATAACTAAACACTTCAGTTCAGTTACCTATAAAACAGTTTGGAGTCAGGATGGAAATATTAAAATTATGTGGTCAATTACATAATTAGATTTCACTATGCAACCAACAGCTCTTGTGGAACACAACACAGAGGCCAACAGACTCTATGTATAAGGTTTAATACCTGTTTCTTCTGTTTTCTAGGTCTACCACTGCCACTAAATGTTTACAGATGTTAAATGGTTGGACAGGTTTTAAGGATGGTTACTTCAAATCCTTTTTATGACCCACTTGGCTAATTCAGTGATATCAGTTCCTTCTGCTGTGAAAACCTATTGTTTCAATTAACCACTTTGTTCTAGTATGATTTCTTCTAGTGCAGCTTCCACCACTGTGCTGCAGCATACCACTTGGAAATCCATTTGATTCACAAATCATCATTTAAAGTTTAATGAAATCTGAAATCAGCCTTTATATTTGATGTTATTTCTAACATAACCATGAGATATTAACTTTTATTTATACAGTGCCTTTCCAAACCAAGGCACGTTGTATTTAGTGAAAAAAGAAAGACAAAATACAATGAAAATTATAACACATGCAGGATAAACTAAGCAATAAGACACTGACCCTAGTAAAAGGGTGAGTTTAACGTTTTGATTTGAAAATAATCTAATAATTTGTCTCTCGTAGAGTAAGAGGAAGGACATTCCATAACAAAATAGCAAAAGAAGTCCACAATTTAGTCCAAGTTACTAGCTTCATCTGAATGGAGCCTACGGAAGGGAGTGTAAACATGAAGAAGTTCAGAGATGTATGATGGAGATTATTTATTTAAAGCCTTATAAGTCAGTAACAAGATCTTATATGAAATACGATTATATTAAGACTTTACAGGCAACCAAAATAGAAATTTAAGTGTAGGAGTGATATGCTGACAGGGTCTGATGTGAGTTAGTAGTTCAGCTGCTGGGTATTGGACAGTGCAGCTTACTGAGGAAATAGTAAAGGGGACAAAGAAGCAGAAAGCCTTGATATTATGTATGAATCAAGCACTTGGCATCGGACATTCATAGAAATTGCCTAATGTGGGCAACATTTATAAGGGGAATAAGAAAAAAAACTTTTTTTTTCACATGTGGTCAAAAGACAGGAGAGGAATAACTCCTAGGTTCATGGCTATAGCTGACGTGTGAATGGGGAAACCATCCACCATTTCTGTGAGGTTCTCCAGCTTAAACAGCTGATATTTGCTGCCCACCAGTAATATTTCTATTTTGTCAATGTTAAGCTTCAAGGAATTTGATGTCAACCAGAACTTGATGTCATGTAAAAAAAAGATAAGTGATGAGGAAATAAATCTGAGAATCATCTACGTAACAGTGAAACTGAAGACCATGTTTGCGTAGAATCTGACCGAGAGAAAGCATACAAATAATAAAAAGCAATGGGCACAAGACTGAACCCTGTTTGCACACTGTGATTGACTGAGGTTATGAGGGATTTATTTTAATAAAATATTTATTTTATTACCAAGGGAAACAACAGTTTTGCCTGCTGGTCAGATGAGAGCAGGACCAGTTAAAAACACTACCATTGATAGACAAGAACATTCCATGTTTTTCTCAACACAATTCCCTAAAACCAAAGATTATTTAAAATGTACATTTTCTGCTGCACACAATACTTTTTTCTTATGGGTTCTTCTAGAACCGGCAGAATACCTTAACACACATTTTTTTGGGATAAATTCTGTTTAAAAACTCTGTTTACTGGGAAGAAACCATGATGTATTTTTTCTTTTTAAAATGCATTTCCCAGCTGTTGGCCTGATATAAACAGGAATACAGGAGATCCTAAATAAGACCACTGAAGAACTTCAGCCAAGAGACCTCTTCATGGCTTTCACTCATCTCTTCTGACTAGTCTGGGTATCACTCTTCCTACAAAGCACGGAACATGTCTCAGAAATGAGACAGATGCTTTTCAAAGATATCTTGTGGAGGCTATCCACATTCCCAGGAGGTCGTCTTTCCTCTGGAGAATGTAGCAGGTGTCACCAGTGTAAGTGGATCTTCAGTCTGGGAGACTGCTGTCTAAACCATGTTTAGTACAAGATAAGGTCATTGGTCAAGGTGAAGCGCTTCTTCTATTATATCCAATAGCAGCTCAGCAACTGTTTCTTTACATTCTGGAAGCAGGTACAAATATTACCTCTGTTCCATCCAATACAACACCATATGTTATTGCGAGCATTGCAAACAAAACATATTTTTGTATTGTTATCTCGCATAAAAATGTTATCTCGCATTATGAAATATATTAAATTGGCAGCAATGCACTAATAAAATGCATGACTTGATCTGTATATTTAACAGACTGTTTGAGAAAGTATTTAGGAGATACAGCTTAGTAAAGGGTCTCATTTTGTCCTTGTGAATTACTTCAGCCTGGTGTTATTTTTAAGTTAGTTCAATCTAACTGACTATCCATATCTGTGATGTGCTATAATGGGAGTTTTACAAATATCTGTGGCTTTCCCAAAACATTAGATATTTTTTGCATATTTGCAGAATGTTGCTATTTAGACTTAAAACAGACAAGTAAATGCAGAAACACCTCCTTGCTATTAATTTATTTATACTTGTTTTGTATGAATGTACTTTGGGTATCCGTTAACACTGGGTGTCATTACTTTTACAGAACAAAACACATATTGGCCCTTATCTATAATACATAAGAAGCAGAATATGCAGGACTGATATAGAACCTGGAAATCTTAAGACACATGTTTTACTTCACAAGAAGTGTTAAGAGACAGACCCTCCCTTCTACAGCCATAGAACACTGTGAGAAAGAGCAGCTGATGAGCATGTGGGTGCCTTGGAATGCTGGGGAAAATCACCCAACACCTGTTATTCAAGCATCACTCTATTAATGTTTCGTGAATGCATCACTGTTATTTAGAAGCACTTCATGGCCATATGCGAAGTAGTTGATTTTAATTTTGGCCTGACTTTATATTAAGGACACTGGACACTGTGACTATTACTAGTTTTGGAATTGTAGCGATTATTTTGTGAATAATGTACTGTAACTAGTCAGTATATTTCATTCATTTTGATACAAATTTATCATGGGATAGAAATGGAAAAAGTCATGTGAAAATACCCTGCAAAAAACATCACAAAAGAAGTGATGCAATGTTTTTTTTTTTTCATTTTTTCTAACAAAAAGATACATTCAATTAAATTGCAATAGTGTGCATTACAGTGCTTATAAGATTCTGACAGTTGGTAAGAACAGTCTCCAGTGAAAACTGGAATCTGAACATTCATACAAAAGTCACTAGGCAATGGCTTTCAAAACATTTGTGATACAATTTGGTACTTATTGCCAATGTTTTTAAGATACTCTTGTATTATGCTTTTATTTCCTAGCAGCTCACCTGTGTTACTTAAGAACAGATTTTAATATTTTCTTTACTCATCCCAGACATTGTCTTTGTAACCGTATAGTAAAGGAAAATATTAAAATATGGGTTTATATAAGGAAGCCGTTATTTAAAATTAAAATCCAAATGAAACTCAAACTAGCCAAGTGGGATACCATATAATTAAAAGACGCCTAACATTTTAACTTATTTTTGTCACGTTGCATTGATAAGAGGATCCTCTAAGTGATTTAAATCACTATTACTATCCGCCCACCATACAGGACTATTACACTTTCTTTCACGTGTTATTTTTACATACACACCTCTAAAAGGCCATAAAAGCCTATTTAGTTTTGAAAAGATGCTACAGAACACTTAACATGTGATTGACATTATATCCCTAATCTGTTTAGTGACAGATGCAGACTTATTGAGGCTTATGTGTAAATGTCACTCGTTTCAAATTATTAACGTTCTAAATAAAGCTCAATTGAATCAGGATTGCTGGTAATAATTATAACCGTTTGCTTTGCTCCTTGTTCAGTATTCATGCACTAGGATAACAACAAATCAGCAGTTTTACAAAGTGCTGAATTGATTTTTGACTTCTATTACTAGGTTACTCGAATAATTGGATCAACCCCTCCTATCCCTTTTCTATTATTGCTAGTGTTAAGACCATTATTACATTAAAAATCATACCAAAAGAACATTTTTTCTTAATGTTGACTTTAGAGATGGATGATTTATACTTTTTGCTTTACAGAGTACAAAGAGACAGAGGACACATTTAAAAAATAATAATATATTGACACAGAGCATGTTTTTTATAATGACAACAAGATTGTTTTTTTCTAAATCTTTTCAGTGAAACAATATGAAAATAATTTCCCTAATTTAGGTAAAGGAGTGTTAAACCAAGCTGAACTTTCATTCGATAAGCACTGTAAGCATCCAAATCCTCTATGAAATTAAATATATAGTATATTTAATATATAGTATACTATATGCACCTATCACAAATGTATATCTGTCCCAACCCAGCAGTCAGTTAAACCATCATGTTGCATGTGTCAGTAGTTCTTAGGTAGAAGATTCCTATAGTAAGACCTGGGTGTATCTAATTGGAGATACAAATCCTATTTTTTGTGTTTGTACTTTCTCATGTGTGATGCTACTGTAGCCGCAATCTCTGTGTTCTTCTTGTTCTGGCCAAAATAGTCAATGAAGTCACCATTAGGGCCAACAAGGTACATGATAATGGTATGGTCCACCTAAAAATAAAAAAGTGAATTGTGTTAACAATGAAACAAATATTACAAAGTTATTAGTCTGCGAATTCCCTGTTTCATTTTAGTATTCATACTATACTTAAATCTGTCCAGCCATTGCAATATAGTATATCTTAATGATTAATTAACCTAGATATTTTTTTTGTCTTTTTATATTGGTTTGTGAGTTATCAGAAGTACTGTTAGAAGGCAATAATCAGAAATACATTTTTACTGACAATGAACTGTAAAACCGTATGACATTCTGTGAATGTTTAATGTCCATAAGCCTTTCAATACCCAGAACCTTCATAATATGGCACTTTTGCTTAAGCTCTGTGGCTGAGTTGAGAATGTTTGTATAAATGAGCCAGCTTTACATCTGAAGAGAACTTACAATGTAATCATTGTCTTCATCTTTTGGTCCTTGACTGTAATAAACTCTATAGGCCCTGGACACTTTCTCCACCTGTTCATTTGTTCCAGTCAGTCCAATCAGCTTTGGAGAAAATTCTGAAAGATGTAAATATATAAAACAAAGGACTGTGAACAATTATTCTTTCAATGTTCCTGTTTTACAGAAATAATGCTATGTAATGCAAGACATGGAACTGTATATTAAAAAATATTTAGAAGTGGTATTGATCAATTGATTAAAAAATGCATATTAACATGATAGCCCACCAATGAATTACGTCTGCTGTTAACTATGGGTAAAACCAGAGTGTGTCTAAGGACTAAATTTAAGAACATGTACTCGCAAAGATAGCACATCCTGAGAAGGAACATTAAACATAGAATGAGAGTAACTATAGAGACTTCACAAGTATAGAAAAACAAGTATCTATAAATTATACAGTATTATATATATTATTATAAATGTAAAAGGAGATAACATAAGAGGGAAAGCAAAATTGAAGCAACAGTGCAGACATATGTGTGCCACACTGATGAATCCCAAAAGGGGTAAAACTGCATTGCACCTGCTGTCTTGAGTCTCTTGACTGTCTTATGTATTCTCAATTTGTTTTTCAACCGTCTTAAAATTTGAAAATAAAAAGGGTATGACCTACAACAGGGTCATCCAACTCACATCCTAGGAAACTGGTGTGTCTTCAGTTTTGCTTTCCAACTCAGCTCTTCTCTAAAACAGTTTGATATTGGCTTAAATGGGCCAGTGAACCATCTTCTCCCAGATCTTCCAATTATTACAGCTTTAAAGAAAGCCAAGCTCTGCAAACACAATGGCAATGGACCATCCCGCATGATGACCATTGTAATCCAGAATCAAATTGAATAAACAGAAACACTTGCCCTTTACATATCTTAATATTGCTTCGGGTGTATCCCTTTCTGGATCAATCGTGATGAAGAGGGGAGTTAAATTTGGAAGTGTGGGTATTCTATCTGGAAAAAGACAAAACAAAAATGAATCAATTCTCTCAACTTAAATGGAAACACAGGTCTGCCCCTTTAAAAGTACAGGAAGCAACATGAAGAATGGATATCTAATGCCATCTAGTGACGCAGCAATGAATTTTTTTTCAAGGTTGAGTTTCATCAAAGCACTCACTTAAACTTTCAGCTACACAGTTAATTTGCTTGTATTGTATAGCCTTTTTTTCCATCTTCTAAAAGTTATGACTCCTTATTAATTTTATGAGTAACAATATCAAACAGCACAATTAAATTAACCAGCTTTAACTGCATACATCTCAATATACTTTCTTTCATCACTGAATATATTGTTTACAGTATATTGTGTACAAAACAACTTTTACAAATATAATAATAGATTTACATAACATTCTGAACATTCTTAAAAAGCAAACATTTTTATCAATGATCAATGATGTCTACCAAAGCTAAAGCATAAATTACTTTACAGTGCTCTAAAATCTTCTGATAATCTTTAATTCTCCCAGAAAAACAACCTGAGCTAAACCACCAATCAGACAAATGAAACTACTTAAAAGCATGGCCTGAATCAAAACCAAAAATATTTATCCACCTCTCCAGTTGTAAATTGCAGAATTGCCTGGTGGACACTTTTGGTTATATAGAGATATCTTGATTTTAAGCAATGGAAATTTGCTAACACATATTAGATCTGGCTTTTTTTTTTAATTTGGGTCATTTTCTTTGTAATGAGGCCTAAATCAATAGAGAAAACCTCTCTAAGCCTTTGAAACCTAAGGAAGATTTGCTAAAGTCCCTCCTTCATGTAGACCAAACTAGAAAAAAGCTCACAAAGTCTTGGAATCTTTAAAGCTTCCTTGCACTGTTTTACCTATTTCATCAACCACTTCAATCATCTTCTCTAGCTCATCAGGGCAGATGTCTGGGCAGTGGGTGAAGCCAAAGTAAATGAGAATCCACTGGCCAAAGAAATCTTCACTATTCTTTGGCTTCTGGTTGTGGTCAATGAGGGAGAAGGGACCTCCAAGAGCTGGTTTTCCCAAAGATTTTGTCCTTTCCCGTTCAATCACTGTAGAGAACAACAACAATCACCAGTTAATTTCTCGGACTATCTACCCAACCATTTTTGGACTGATTCGTCCAATTCATGCAAGAGTCGAAGCTTATCCTGGCAAGCAGTTGGAGTAAGGTAGGATACACCCTGGACAGAACACCAGTGCTTTGCAGGGCACATACAGACACAGGCACACACACTCACACCTAAGGCCAATTTTCCCAGAAGCCAATTAACCTGTATGTCTTTAGACTGTAAGAGGAAACCAGAGCACAAAGAAGAAAACCCATGTGAATAAGGGGAGAACACACAAACTCCACACATATAGACCCCAGGTCCAGAATTGAACCCAGCACTACGAGACAGTAATGCTAACCACTGTGGCACTGTGCTGACATTTTCTCAACTAAACCTAAGTAAATCAGTAAACACCAATTTTACAACATGATACATGTCTATTATGGTCATTCTCTGATTCAATACTCATCAATGGTGCATCACGTGAAACCCTCCTAGGCTTCACTGTCATTAAAGGAGATAGTAATATAAATGATTATATTATATATATATATTATATAATATATTATAATATATAATAACCAGCCATTTTGCATAAAATGACTTTCAAATAAATGTTTTGTTTAATTCCCACATAATACTAAAAATGTATCCTTGTTCATCAAAGGGAGAAATAATCTCATTGTTTTTGTTTTCATGATAAAACATGAATTTAAAGATTTACTTAAAATTGAAGAAAACAATTTGTGGGTAAAATATTAAACGCCACTTGTAGAACCCTCATATTATCATGCATCGCTGGAAATGAGAGAAAAGCCTGTCATGAATTGAATTTAAATGAACTGGACTGAATTAAACTTTACTGCCCCCAAAGCAAATTTGTCTTTCACATCAAGAGCTCATAAACATAAAACAAATATAACAATAATACATTACAACAACTGTACAATACCAAAACAACATTTAACCACTTCGTTCAATCACAAATCAATCCAATACCATAAGAATAAAAACAAACAATTTGCTGGTAAAGTGTCTAAAACAACAACAATAAAATCCCTACCTGCAAACAATCTTTTCATTGCTCAACAATTGAATTCTTTTTGGTATGAATGAAGTAAATGCTTACTCTCCCAGAGGGTAGGAGAGTATATTCTAAAAAGAGTGGACGAGAGGGATCATCTATGATTTTAGATGCAAGATTAATAATATGTCACTCTGTTAGACATGTTATTGAGTCCAAGGATGTGCTGGTAATCTTGTTCTGAAGGTACAAAGCACCTCTCCAACCCTGAACACAAAAGGTTAGAATGCTCAGAATCTCATTAAAATTAAGTAAAATATACAGAATTTCACTTACATATATTGCACTACGCCCTACTTTTGTGTGGCTTGTCATGTCTGTGCAGTAAAAAAAAAAGATATTCTAATTTTGACTTACTTTCCTCTTTTTCTTTTTTGAAGTATTTCATTCCAGCCAAAAGCACTCCACCAGATGCAAACGTTACTGCTAAAGATTTCCATGTAACAGGCTACTGGAAAGAAACAAGTTTATTTTTTGACATCAAGAACACTGCATTGATTTAAACATGACCCATCCAAATTAATTTTCTTTAAAGTTTCATCAGGAAAAGATGTAACAGGAGCCACAATATGTATCTTATTTAAAAGTCCACTTCACATGTTTTCATATGGGATAAGGTCACTTAAGTTGCAATATGCTAATGAATGTGTTAGCAAAAGTAAATACCCATCAACAGAATATCACACTGCATCATTAAAAAGCCCAATTGTTTAAAACGTATTTGATTTTATATCAATTTGATCTAAAATCAAATACGTTGATCTGTTGATTCCATCCTTCCATCCATTACTGCTTTACAGGTTGTGGGACAGCTGGAGCCTATCCCGGCAAGCAATGAGTATGAGGAACACCAGTGCACGGAATGGCATGAAAGACACACTCACACCACAGCCAATTTTCACAGAAGCCATTTAACAGACCAGTAGGCCTTTGGACTGTGGGGGCAAACCCCCATAAACAAGGGGAGAACATGCAGATAGAACCCTAGGAATCGAACCTAGGGCCCCAGCACTGCAAGTCATCAATGCTAACTACTGCGCCACTGTGCCACCCTTTGAGTTGATACCAAATAGTTCATTTCAAATATGTAGCAGCATAATTTAGTAATATCTGTCCCTGATGACGTTACAAGACTTCAAAGAAAGACGTATTAAAGACTTGAAAACACCCTGAAAAAAGGTCAATTAATCAGAACTGAACATAATATAAATAAGTATATAATAAGCTCTTACCCCAGACTTTTTGTTTGATTTATCTCCTGATTGGGGAGGTGGAGGCATAGACGTGAATGTACGCGAACATTGTAGGGATTTAAGTTCTGTCTTGCGCGCGGGAGTGCGGATAAATGTCACCTACACCAAAAGGAACAATTTATTTTTAAAAGAAAATTACACTGCATATATTCGCAAACATAAATCTTACCAGATTGTGCAGCGGTAACCAAGGCACGTATCATGAAATGAAACACGACAACTGTACATAATGTACTTCGGGGATTTGAAATGGTCTCGTTAGTCAGAAACTAAAACTTATATAAGTTAACTAAGAGACACTGTTAAATTGTTTGCATTGCTTATAGATCATTATTTTGTTATAGCCCCAAAACCTGACATACCGATTTATGGAATCCCTGTAACGAAAAGGCAGGCAAGACGTTCTTCCTTGTTGCACACTGAAACGTGTACAGAATATGAGTGTGAAAACCCGTCTGTAAAACACACTTATTTAACCATCGCAACTGCGAAGACAGGTGAGTGCTACCTGACACAAGCAACGCCATGATACTGTTCTGACCTTCCTGTACTTTTCCTGTGTAGGACGGAAATACTACCGTCAGTCAGTAGTGACAGTAGTAAAAAGCAAACTACTTAATAAATCGTTCCGCCCCGTTTCTTCACGGTGTCTTTTTTTTATTACACAAATTAAAATACTGTAAATATTGTTGTGTAATTTTCGGAAGCATCAATAGAGGTAGATTAGAGGAGAACATGAAAATGTGTAGTGTACATAAAAAGAAAAGAAACCTTAGAGATAAGCTCTCTTAAAGGAAGTCGCGTCATCCTGAATGTGATGTTGTAATTTAAATGCTGTTTAGGGGGAAAACAAAACAATAAATTCACTGTAAATTCATGTTTAAATTTAAATGGCAATTCCGTAATAGATCCGTAAACGAAGGCCGATTTTTCAGGTAAGTCCAGAAAAGTTTTAAAATATAACTGAATCATGATCGTATTGTATGTGATCTGACAGGGTGAAAATACCTGTGCAGTTAAAAATATACAGGCTAACTAATAATGTTAGTAACACGGGTTGTGCCATGGACCTGTTTTTTTAAGTGGCCTTAAAAAGATCACACTCGCCAGTATTAAGAAATACAGTATTTTAAAAGAAATGCGTCAGCAATGTAATTTAGATACAGGTTTGATACCAAAATTTCCTAGTGGTAGCAAAATATAGTATACATAACCAAGTTTTCTCCTGTTTAGGTGTTTATTTTCCAACCCCACAGCTGCCTTCAAACATACTTCAAACATTTAAGCGATCCTAGCTGTGAAATAATTATAGAAGTAGGGAAGTGGAGTTTACGACGCTAAAGTTCGCTTCTTATTCGCGTTTTACGTTCCACCTTAAATGCTGCTGTGATGTTCGATGATCTTCTGTCAAACTTTACCATTTTAACAAGCAGGAAATTAAAACTCTAAGCTTCAAAGTAAGACCCTGTTCTTAATCGGATAATATTTCCTGTATATTCTCTCATTTAGAAATCTGTTCTGCAGCACATTTCAATTCGAGTAAATAATACTTGTGATAGAAATGAAACATTTTATTTACGCATAGTGAAATTAATTAAGGAGAAGCACATGCTTTGATACAAAGAGAACAAAGATTTGGCCATGAGCAGGACCAAATTTATAAAATAAGTATTGTTACGTCAACGCAATATACTGTACAGTATTTTAAACGGGCAAGGGACGACTAGCTCGTACAAAAGACGTTTTAACGACGAAAAATGTTATTCTTTGATTTACATGATTCATTGTTTTTTATCTACCCTATGGTGATTAGGGTCACACTATTCAGGTAGGCATTTCATGACTAATGCCTTATTTATCAGGAGATACTTTTTATAATATATAATAATATATAAAAATAATTTTATATAAATAATTTTATAATATTGCATATTATATCTGAGTAATGTATAATGTACCAATTATATGCTCTCTAAAGGCACCAAACATGGGGATTTCTTTTATTTTTATAGACTGTGGACAACAAGTGGTAGATTACCAAACAACATAAGCACAAAAATGGATGACGGCAAACAACCCTTGTTTACTTTTGGAGTGATTGCAGATATCCAATATGCTGATATTGGAGATGGCTTCAACTTTCTTCACACTAGGAAACGGTATTACAGAAACAGCCTCACCTTACTGCGTAGAGCCAGTCAAAAGTGGAGGTCAGAAGCTGTCCAGCCTAGCTTTATTCTCCAACTTGGGGACATCATTGATGGGTTCAACAAACAGCATGATGCATCAGAAAAGGCTCTTCAGACGGTCATAAATGAGCTTCAGCAATGCAATATTGAAATTCATCACATATGGGGCAACCATGAGTTTTATAACTTCAGCAGAGATGATCTAATGAACTCTGTGTTGAACAGCAAAACCTTGGAAGATGCATCTAATAAACAAATTGTGGAAAACAGTACGGAGCCAAGCTATTCATATCACTTCAGCCCTGCTCCGAATTTCCGATTTGTGCTGCTTGATGCCTATGATCTAAGTCTTCTGGGAAGAAAAGAACCAAGTCAAAAGTATGGCCAGTCACTTCAGATAATACAAGAACACAACAAAAATGAAAATCTCAACCATCCACCAGGTAATCGAGTTCACTTCCCTTATATTACTGTTTTAAGTCAATGTTTTTGGATGCATACTTAAATGTGAGGAGTTTCACATGGAAATGCAACAAATAGAACCTATTGCACTAATTAGAATGTAATTGGAAGCACTGAAACGTACCTCGCAGAGGAGTTGATGATGATTAGAATATTAGTGGATATGCAGCTTTCAGGAGAGATGGAAAAGATGGTAAAGCTGGAGGTGAAGAATTTTGCCATGGAAGCTAAAATAAATAAAAAGGGTAAATGACAGGATTATAGGAGCAAAAGAACAGTACAGAGCAAAATAAAGGATATCTGAGGAACGTTTTAGATAAAGGAGAAAAGGTTGAATTGACTTTCACTTACAGCAGGTCAGGTGTTTAGTAAAGAAAAAAATATCAATATGCCACAAGATGAGAAAAGGAATGGTTCAATAGATATTATTTTATCATCCTGCATAAGTATTGTATTTTCAAGGTTGGCCAATGAATTGTTAGAAACTGTAAAATAAGTAATACATGTTTGTTTTTACTGAAGTACAGTGTGTATTTGTCCTCATATTGTTATTTTCTCTTGCCGTAGGGTATGCAGGAATGGAGGCACGGTTTGTTCAGTTCAATGGAGGATTTAGTAAAGCCCAGCTTGAATGGCTTGATAAAGTTCTCACCTTCTCAGACAACAACATGGAAAAAGTTACAGTCATTAGTAAGTGTAACTATCAACCTGCATGCTTTAGTGTGAAGCAAATTAAAGTGGTGCACAGTCAGATGCTGCCTCTGTTGGATAATTTTGTCTTCTGGACTGAGGTTTCTAATGTTCAGAAATGTTTCTTACAATCCAAAATTCAATTACACTTTTGTTTTTACATACAGGTCATCTACCGATACATCCAGGGGCTACCGACCCCATCTGTCTGGCATGGAACTATGAGGAAGTTCTTTCCATCTTGCATTCTCACAAAAGTGTCGTGTGCTTCATGGCTGGGCATGACCATGATGGTGGCTACTTCCTAGATGAATCTGGAGTGCACCATCTTACTTTTGAAGGGGTGATTGAAACACCACCAGACAGTGATGCGTTCGGCACAGTGTACGTATATGAAGACAGAATGATTTTAAAGGGGAATGGGAGGGTTTTAAAGAGAGTTCTTATGTACCCATGACTGCAGTTCACTCATAAAGCATCATGTTTCTATCTTCTGCTGTTAAGTCATAATTCAGATGCTATTATTCTGAAAAAGAAGATTCATTTGCAATGAAAAAGGAACAGTTGACTAATGAGCATAATGAAGAGCAAAGACAATGTAGGACTGAAACAAGGACTCCTAGATCTGCAGTACAGTACAACACGATCTCAAGCAACTAATTGTCTCTGCCTGCAGGGTACAATTCACTTTGTGAATGGATTAAGTTTCAGGAAAATGAAAAATGCTGTATACAAAAATAATAGATTAAACTGCTATGTTGTCAACTAGTTATACATATTCCTACATGGGACTAATCAGATCTAGTCCTCTTTCATCGTTGTTATAATGGGAAGGTTATCAACCACAATCTGTCAACCGAATTTTTTAGTGTAGTTTAGGAAAGCCTCTACCGTGCTTCTTAGCGGCCTCTTGTGGTGAATAAAGGTTTCTATTGAATCAAAAATAAACACAATTGCTAATGCCCTGCAGACTATCACAGAGTTTACATTATTATTTCATTAGGATGCAGATGTTTTATATTTTCTATTTATAGTGAAGATAGAAAAAGAGTTTTATTTAATTTATTTTACTTTAATTTTCCTCTAAATACTGTGGAATTGTGTTCATGTTCCTGTAAAGTGGTTAAGTGGAAAATAAAGTTTTAAAGTGAATAATATGAGAACATATAATCTGTTTCCTTAACTTTTTTATTACAGACAAAACAGATTTTAGCAAATGATTGTTACTGACAATACATCAGAATGTCTAACATAAAAATCTCCCCCATTCTATGGGGCTGATTGCTAGGCTGGAAACTACATGGTTGGTTTGGCTATCAGTGTGCTTTTTATGAATTATTTATTTATTAAATAATGCAATATTTTATGAATACTGCAACATCCTCTATGTTGGTTTACATGTTATTTTGGAACATGAAGAAATCATAAAAAGCTTTTAACTTCACAAAACAAAACTGCTATTATTGTTGTTGTTCAAATTTGTATAATCACTTTAAATTTGTTCAGAAACACTTTTAATGTTTGCTTGATTAAAAAAAGAATAAGTGTCTGTTCATGGTTAACCTAAACTTATGTAATGCCACCTTTCTGCTCGTGGTATTTACTTATTTCTGATTTTAAACTGGTAGGCTTAGATCAGGGGTCTGAAACTGATCCTGAAGAAACCCAGCTGAGTTGGAAATATACGTAGCCTGTAAATAGTACATTTCTAAATGCAGTCACTTGTACATTTAAGAATGAGCATATAGTCTTATTTTCATTTTGATATGTCTTTGTCTGAAAAATTAGTTCTTGTTAATTTTGATATGATTCCCAGCAGTTTAGCAAATCAAGACAAGTAACTTGGGAAAAACAAAATTAATATGTCATGTTTGTTTTTCTTCTGATGCTTTTGTTATTAAATGATAGTGCATGGATACTTAAGGCATGTTATTTGTCTCAAGTCACCCTTAGGAAATGTGTAATTTGCTATAACTTCAGATAACCAAAAATACCCCAACAGTGTTATATATACTATGCGGTTAAGTTACAGAAGGTCTTCCAGCTATTTTAGGTGTGTTAGTTGCCAGTATATGTCCAACATTAGCCATGTTTTGAGCAATATGGTTTGAAAATAAATTACTATTCAAGAAATACAATTAAGGTCTAAAAGGTCTGGTAAAACTTAGATTTTATTAAATGCTATATTTTAGGTCAAAAGTATTTCTACAAAGGTCCTGTTGACAACTTTGATACTGAATTAGTGCTGTTCTTTTAGTTCATTATATAAGGAATCCCCAAAGATTTCTTCAGTTCAAATTTCTTGACTTCACAAAGTCCAAAGGCTTTTTGTAGAGAAAAATTCTAAATACATTAAGGATAAACCTAACTGTGTAATGCAGTGAGACAAAATATACTTCATGTATGTATTCTACAATCAAACAGGTATCACGTTTGAATTCTCTTTTTAACTTTTGATGCAAAAATGCAAATTGGATTTACTGTGTACATGTCAGGTTATTTACAAACATATTCAGTAATTGTAAACATTGGAACATATTCAGTGGTATTATAAACACAGGTTTATCTTAATATTCTTTCTTGTAATTTAAAGTGCAGTTTTACAATGTGAGGGCCAGGAGGACCTCAGCTCCTTGTTGATGTAGTAGTACAGCCATGTCACCAAAGGGAAAGCTGTGATTCCCACAGCAGTGGAAACTCTTAAGGCTCCAACTGAATTCCTGAAATAGAAAACAAATAACTGGATATGCTGAACCTATTTTAAAATGACTTTTATTGGGCTGGATGAAAACATTACCCAATGTTGTACATTTTAAAAACAGTCAATCGAAAAAGTCAATCTAAAACTTCTGCAATTTCATTTTGACTTCAGTGTCATTAGAAGGAAGCCCAAATTATTACGTATCTCATCACTAAACTATAATTTGACATTGTAGAAAGGAAGTACGATATGTCCCATTTTAGTTTTCAAAAGTTAAGGAACAAGTAAACGTTTATTCCATGCCGAAAAGAGAAGAAAATAAACATAATGTTTCGGCTGTGGAGCCTTGGGTTTCTTCTCTTTTCTGCATGGAATAAACCTTTAGCCTACACATGCTGACACAGCTACCTACTTAAATATAAAAGTATACAATATAAGTAAAAATCTACTTTTTCTATGATTCTTGCCTCTGTTTTTATTAAGAAAATATGGATAAAGAAACAACTTTTGATTGTTTTGAATTCCTTTTAACAGCTATTTTAATATAGGAGAGTAAAGTAAAAAAGGTTTTAACCTTCGGTTAAAGAAATAGATTTAGATGCATTACAGTACCTTTAGATAAAATGAACTGTAAAATGAAGAAACTGCATTAGAATATCTATTAGAGTGTAAACACATTTTAATCACATTTCTCACCAATGAATAAAACAAGAGGAACACCTCACCTTCCTGAATGACGACACAGGATCAGCCATACCACGATTAATAATAATCCAGAGAACTCTCTTAGAGAACAGCAAAAAAAATGATACAGTGATCAACTAAGGTGAGAGAGATTAAAACCAAGTGAAGTGTAACAATACTTCCAAAAATAAAAGTAAAGGGTGATTACATCAATGGTGTATATAACTGTACTTAAGATTACATTCAATTCTTTTTTTTCTTGACCAATATAACTGACATGTTTAATTATATTTTCTTGATAGTTGTGTTTTCAGAACAGATGCCAATCCATTAGGATTTACTAAATAAAACTAAGGAATTAATTATAAAATCAGTCTTTAATATTAATTGCTCAAACCTAAGCCAGAGTTTACCTATGGATAGAAAAGTGACAATTACCTTCCTTCTTCTTTCTGGAAGATATTTTCAGCTTTACTTTTATACAAGGACCATCCCAACATGGCAGCTACAGCAGCACAAATAAGCATATGAAGATCAGATAGTCTCCTCCAGATTAATACCTCTGAAAAACAACACATTCATCTTGATTTTGCAAAGTTACTGAGCTACATAACATAGGAGGGACTGGATCAGCTTTCATGACATAAAAACAGATATCAGGATAGAGTCATACCTGTAATTGGAGGCTTAAGGCTTATCAGAAAACACAAAGAAGCTGGGATTGAATATGCAACCTGTAAATACAAACGCATTTATAATATTGGAAGTCAGGAAATAAAAACAGTCACATTTTACAAATACAGCCAGCAGGTGTCGCTCGATGTTTTTCAGAGGCCATTCAAGATGCATTTGAAGATACGCACTGGTAGAGTTCGTATGCTTTCTCTGAAGTGAAGAATTCAGTTTTATACTTCGTACTACGGTGTACTGTTTAGGACTCACCATCCATATGCCAGCATCGGGGTCATTGATCTGGAATAATCAAAAATAATTAAATGTATTTATTTTCTGTCTAGTTTGAAAGAGCAACAATGATAAAAAATAGTTTTAAAAGTGTTTTTTAAAACAAAAAACGTTTATGCCATGAGAGAAACAATACGTTTTTGGATGTTGAGTTATCCATACCGCATATTGCTCAAAATACATAAAATGCATTCAGAACGATGACATCGAATTCCTTAAGTATGACAGTGTTGAAATATATGTGCCTATGACTTCTAAATTCTAAAACATTAGAATGTATGTAACCAGCCTCAGTACTATTTATTAATATAAACAGCATACAGACACCCATAAAGATATAAAAGAGTTTAAACAAATATATAAAAACAACTGCACTTTAATTTCCAAAACCAGTCACATTTGTCTTTAGTACGGTACTTGCCTGCACATATGCCGCTAAAGCAAAGAAAAAAAACATACATAAATTGCAGCTTCTCCATAATACTTGAAAACACTCCGAAGACCCGCTTTTTGTTTTTCCGTTTTTTGTTAATTCGTATTTCTTGCTCATTTTACTTATTTTCTTCAGTACTTTGCTCAGAGAAAAGAAACTGCCATTATTGAGTTTGAGTCAGATCACATGGACATTTGCAATGCAGTTTGGGAATTATAGTTCCATTAGCTTAGTTACAGAGCACAAATGAATAGTATTGTACTGTACATTGTGCATTGTGCATTAAGCGAAAGCACAAAGTTGAAAATTTTGGTAGATCTTGTGAGAATACTGTAGTAAACTGTTGTTATCTACTGTTAACAAACATTTAAATAAATGCATATTTATCGAGGTACAGAAGAAAAGATCTGGACATATGTCTTTAGAGGAACAATAAAGAATATTAAAATGCTGTTGTGTTGCTGTTATTGTAACTGTTCTCCAGTTATACTAGTTGGTCATGCACCTGCCATACTACCATGTTACCCTGGCAGACATAAAACCTCAGTGATCCGGACAATGAGCCAGGTCTTGCTCACTGCCATCATAAAAGTGAACTGTGCCTACGCAGGTCCACTCAGCCATTTAAAAAGCTGACTGTTGCAGCCAGTCTTCCACCTTCCTGATCTATTCCCATGCCGCAAGGAGGTCTGGAGGTGATGCAGGAGTTCTTCCTCCATCTCTCCTCCACACCAGCAGGGTCGAGGGGCCTGCCTAGTGCCTTTCATCTCTGTATGAATTTTCTGCTGCCTGGAGTCTTTCTTTGCTCCCCAGTTACATCTTCCTCCTGTATCGGGAGTCTGTTTACTGTCAGCTGGCTCCTGGAAGACACTGGTGGTCCTGTGCTTCGCTTTTATTGCCCTTCTACTGACTTGCCTGTTCACTTTGAATTTTCATCCTGTAATCCCACTCTGACACCACTAACATTATTGTAACACTGCTCAGCATCTATGCAAGCCCTGAAGATAAAGGATATCTTCTGACTCAGACTGCAGCTCCAAAAGGGTGGTGTGCTTTTTATTTATCTGAAAGAGGCAGCTCAGACAATTGACGGCACCAACACACGGCCCCACAGACTGACACTAACTGCATTAACTCTCTCTCTCTCTCTCTCTCTCTCTCTCTCTCTCTCTCTCTCTCTCTCTAAAAGGGGCCCTTATACCCCAAGGACTGTGGTGATGTGACAGTGTGGGCAATCTCACACTGACGGTCATAAGCAACCACACCTACTGAACACAGTTATGAGCATTCTCCTCTCAGAAGAGTCATGCAAGAGCCAAAACATCACGCCATAGACATATAGGGATACAGGCATTATTAATATATATTTACATATACACATCTTTACCTAGGCAATATGGCCTCTTGGTACGCTATTTATGGATATGTAGACATACTACAGTACACTTCTATAAAGGCTTTTCTAGTCAATAATGCCGCAGTAAGAAATATAAGATCATATATTGGCCATATACAATTTCTTGTATTAGGAATTTGTCTTTTCAATATACCCCAACTTGCTCTCCGTGAGACATACAGACAGGGAGAGAGGCTTGGGGTCAGAGTGCAGGGTCAGCCATTTTTACAGTGACCCTGGAGCAGTTGGGGTTAAGGGCCTTGCTTAGGGGCCCAATGGGGTAGGATTTTTCTGCAGGCTGAAGGATACAAACCGGCAACCTTCTAGCCACAGGCGCAGATCCTTAACCACAGAGCCACTGCACCGCCCTAATAAAGGGACACATATTCTCCACTACACACACTACTCCACTACTCATCAATACTTTATAGAATTTAGAGAACAAATTTGTATTTACAATGACCCGGAGAGTACTCCTTTTTACAACATGGCATTTGTGTTTCTATCTCTCCTGTCTCCTAGTCTCCAATTCCCTTCTGCTTCAGGACCTCCTGAGACAGAAGGTCAAACTACAGTTCAATAATGATAATGTGGACATGTTGAAAATAAATGAAAGTTCTTACAGCTGCTGTAACTCACAGATACTAACCACTACTTAGCACTGCAGGTCCTACTGTAGTCACACTCCACATTCACACACTTGCCTGTTCAGTCTGAATTGACATCCTGTAATCCCACTCTGACACAACCTAAAATCCCCAAATCCCCAAAAGGAATAAACAACTACAGGGACCCCAACCCCCAAACGGCTACTATTTATAGCAGTCCAGTTATTTTGTTTTTATTGCAGCTATTATAGCTGCTTTGATTTATGTCAAACGTAAGGGGATAAAGGTAGTATTTAATTTTTGTATACGAAAATCTCCAAGTAATTATTCTACATTCAGCACTAAAATCATATTAGGTTGCAGTACTGCCATTTCTGGGTGGGGGAGGAGAGTATAACCAAATCCTTGCATAATTTGAAAATATGTAACTTAGATTGAACAACGGCTTTACTATTTATAAAGTGGGACTAACTACAACTCGCACCGCAAATGTTATGCCTTGTGTGTCTTGGCTCCTTTTAATTCAGGGCTTTCATTTATAGCACTAGGAGTGGTCTGGTGATTACTGTGGAATGGGAAATACTCGGACTTTATCAGACTTTATTGCTTTATTGTGGATTTTGAGGCGCTGTCAGACTACGTAGGCGGAAATTGACGGGCTGGTCACATAGAGTACTTCAACCGAGTACTGTATTGTGTAGTGCTGGTTTCTCAAGCTAGTTGTCTCGTGATTGCTCAATGGTTCAAAACTGAATAGTAGTTTATTATATAAATTGTATTCTGCTATGTTGAGTTTCGTAGCTAGGTGTCCTGCGAGACTTTGAAGGGTTTTAGACTGAAGCGGTGTAGTGCTATATTGAGTTCTGTAGCTAGGTGTCCCTGCCTGTGAAGGGTGAAGCCACTCACTGCATTGCAGCCTCAGTGCTGCTGCTGGAATCAAACACAACAATGGCGACTCCCAGCCCCAGCACCAACTCAACAACCTCTTCCAGCAACAACAGCAATAACGCAGGATCTACATCTACATCACATCAGCACCAGTCCCAGTCTCAGCACATAACAACAGTGAGCAGCATGCAGGGTAAGCGCCAGAAAACAAAAAGTCCGTAAACGTTTTTATTTTATCAGAATAATTGGAGAACATGATTGGTGAAAGTCTCACTGTGTACTCTAGTAATGCTGCACCGTAGCGATGCAGTTTGCATTTCCTTATCGCCACTGTTTGTAGGCCTCTATGTTTAGGAAGCTTTTAATTTACCTCTCCGTGGCATTTCTAAAATCCAGAAGATTGCGAGAGCGAGACGTGTTAGACATCGTGTTAAATCACTTTACAGATCTGGATTTCTATGGGGCGGTTTTCACTGAATGATTTTTATGGCCAAAGGCCTAAATAGTCTAGTTTTATACGGATTTTTAAATTATATTTTTCATTTCTTTTAAAATTCAGTTCCATTTTTTTACATTGCAAATGTGAAAGGTTAAACTCAGGGATACCGCTAGAAAGCTGCAGTGACCTGCTCAATTAAATGAGCTTTGTCATTTCTTGTGTTGTGTTATTTTTGATATTTCAAGGCCTCACGTGCAGTAAGTAGCCTGGTTCACATATACCTATGCTATTGAAGACTACTATGCAGTGCATATTCTTGCTACAGGTTGTTTAATAATGGTTTTAGTACTAATGTTACGCCGCAAATTAAATAAAAAAATCGAACTCTGAAGCTGTACAAACGCTTTGTGGATTACTGTAGCAATTTCTTTAAATCTCCAGCCAATAAAATATTTAATAAAATGGGCACTGTAGAAAAAAATGTTGCAGATTTCCCTTCCTTTGTGTACATTCGATGGCCAGAAGATTTTATGAACTAATGCGCCATGATAATCATGTAGGCGAGATGAATACAGTCATGATTAATAACACATTGTTGCATTATACAAGGAATAAAATGTTTCATTTAAACCTTGCAGAGACCAACACGTGCTGGAGGTGTCAGAATGAAACAGGTACTTTATTATCTATTTTATAGGAATGTACTGTAGTAATGTTTTATGAACTCAGAAGTAAAATGTGTTTTTAAGTGCCGTGCTGTCAGACACAAAATAAACATCTCAATGTGGCTGCAGTGCTTGGGGATGTTACTAATGCATCTCTGTTGTGATAAAAGCCCTTTTGTATTAAATACTAAGGAAAGAAAGCATTTTATGTTGAAGCTTTTAAAAGAACACATACTGTATCCACTGTTTTTATCAGTTTATACCAGTGAAATAGTAGTCTACTCTTTATTAGTTCATGCCGTATATATTAACTACTTTTATTGTGTAGTATTAATTTCCGTAGGACTTATATGTGATTGAAATGCCAATATTTGCACAGTCAGCACATGGGTAAAATATGCAGGAAATCCCTATTCAAATAAGAGTAGTTGGTGAAAAAGTATTTATGTCCATTGGAATGCTTTTTACCTTGAATTTCCATATTGTTATGTGAAAGAAATGTCTGTGCAACGCATGCAGTATTAATAGATTACTCCCATTTTGTGTGTCCATTAGGTCAGGGGTTGGCAGTATGTTTTTCACTTTTAGTTTATGGCACTGAAGGAAAAGGTGCTGGCAAAAGCTGTTGTTTCATAGCTTAATATTTTGGCTATTGACTAAGTTTGAATTGATTGGAATCCCTTAGGAGTATTGCCAAAGCTTACCGAGCTGCAAGAAATCAAATTGAAGAATGCAGTTTGAGCACAGTTCTGCAATTGCCATGCGTTTGCTGAATTACAAGCCTTGTTAAAAGTGCAGCAGTTCCTTATTATTGCTGTGCAGCTGTGTGGCATAGTTACATAATTGTATCCTGCTAAAAGTCACATGAATGGGTTAGGTGTCCAAGCACATTGAAGATAGCCTACTGTAGATGAACTGCAGATAACAGAGATGGAAATACAGTCCAGGTGTAGAGGACTGAAAATAATAACTAGGCTTAAAGGAGGTAAGTTGAATAAAAGGAGTTTTTGGAAGTAGGTGTTAGTAACAAGCTATCCCATCATATAAGCAAAGCTGATTCTGTGTTATTCTTCAAAATACACCATGGTGAGGCCCTTGTATCAATTAGTTACTAGCACTACTATCATTATAAGTTGGCTTTTTGACCATTGTGAAGAAAGGAACAGCTTGATCTTTAGCTGCTAAGGTACTTTTCATGGGGGAATTTTAATAAAACCATGTTGGATTTAATTAACTTCACAGTAGTTCAAAACACAAATTCTACAGTTTCTGCAAAGCTGTAGAATGAAGCTTTAAAGTTTTTGTTATTACTCAGCTTTAATTAATAGCTTGTATTAGTATTGACAGTGCTATTAAACTAGATTAAGCTTTCACATGTACATAAATACAGTATATTTTCTTCAGTCTCGTCATATCATAAGGCCTATACACATCTGACTTTGAAGTGACAGTACATATAGTGGGCATCAGAAAAAAAGCTTGTCACTCTTTATTTTATTTTCTTTTCCAACACAAAATAGATTTGAATATTAAATATGTTTTCACAATGTTTGATTAAATGATCAGTCATGACTGACCATGATGCACATACCTTACTTTGACTGTTGAATAATTGCTTAATCACCTTATTTGTCAGAGAGTTTATTGGGATTTGGCCATTTGACCCGTTGAATGTCTTGTGAAAATCTTGTAAGAAAACAAGCAGGGAAGTACATTTAAAACTAAGAATAGGAGGCACTTCTTTACATAACGTCTAGAACTAGAGCTGTGCAGCCATGTTTTTGATGCTGATAAACCTGGCTTCCTTTAAAAGAAGGAAGACATTTGGATCAATTAGCTACCAGCTACTACTATCTACAGATAGTTAAGTACTAGCTGTCTGTAGCTATCTGTACTAAGAGGGACAGATAGTCTCCTCTCATTTGTAACCTTTCTTATGTACTTATTTTAGACCTTTATTTGTTATTTATTAGTTATTAGTTATTTCTGCAGTTGCCGTGTGTAAGCTACTTTATTTCTTGTGATTAACACAATGAAGGCTTCCTTTTGTAATAGTGTGAAAGCTCAGCTGGGCAAATCAATTAAATATATTAAAAAATGAGATCAATGGATTCATTAGCCTTGGGGAAAAAAAGCTAGCCTCTAACCGTTCTTTTCATGTTCAAATGTAGAAAGAAATCAGTATACCCTTCCTATCTAGAGAACAATTCCTTTGTTCTGTCCGTGTGTTGGAAGCTGGACTAAGTCAGCTCACTGTCACTCGTCAACTGGGGGTGTTCAGTTTCTAACCTGGCAAGACATTATAGACAAATTCAGTCTGTCCGTTAAAGACTATGAGTCATGACACCTTGCCAAGATCAATGGGGAGTTCCAAGTGTGATAGCCTGGCCAGGAGTGTCTAGTCACTAGAAAACTCCACTTGTGATTTAATGGCAACCTGATCGCATGGCGCTACATTGATCAATTCCTGGAATCTCACTTGCCGCCCTCCCACCAGTCCTGATGTGACAATGTTCTAGCAGGGAAAAATATTTTCTTGCACTCCTTGTATACCTGTGGCTTTATTGCATGATTTGTGCAGGTTGTATGATAGGAGAGGGAGAGAATTCCCACGTAATAACATCAGCAATCTACTGCAAAGATTGTGTTGCAGATATTTAGCTAGCTTTCATTCTATCGATGGCCTTGTTAATGCTACTAGCTTGAGATTTGATAGTAGATAGCCTCTTTTGATTGAATCTGTTAATGACAAATGTTAAAAAGCATCATGAATCTCTCATTGCAGCATAAACTCGTCTTGGATTTAATTAACTTCATAACAGTAAAAACAATACCTGTTTTTTGTAACAATACCTGTTTCCCAGGGGTTTTCTTTAATTCAGATTTGTTTCTTTGCCATATTCCAGTAATGTACAGTAATAACATGATCATTGATGTATGCTGATGTGTTGAAAGGGGGGTTTTGTTTGATATGGGAACAGACAGCAAAAATAGAACAAAATGTAGTAAATGTATATTTTTCTATTGAGTAACACAATGAAATTTCTTTATAAAACATTCATGTAGACAGAAAATAACAGTGTTGTGTGCTACTAGAGCACTCCTGATTATATAGAGGGTGTTATTTAAAGGAACAGTAGATACAAACTAAGTTCTAAGTTCTGAGTTTGGTCCTTATTTCCATAACTTTATAGTATTGCCAGCTGAACTGCTTTTGTATGACATCACCTACACACACAATTGTTCATAGGGAAAAACAAAATAATTAAATCAGATCCTGACAGTCATTTTTGCCATTAGCATAGTCATCTGCCAGTATAGGTGTACCTTGCCATTTTTACAGAAGCATATTTGCTCTGTTCACTTTATAGATGAGTGCAAAAGGTAAGTTGCATGTATCTGAATTTTGATACTTTCCTGCCTCTTTGGTATAATGTCATGGCGGAAAATTATCCAGGATTTAAATTCCCATCATGCCTTATAATAGGCCTCTGCCTGGCATGGTTTTATTTTTGCCCCTACTGTCCCCACATGTGGTGAATTATATAAAAAATTGAAGCTGCCAGACATCTTTCCAGTGCCTTGTTTTATTATTTTAATGTGCTCCATACTGTTCTGTTCCTCATTGTTCAGAGAAAATGAATAATGCTTATTTGTATGTTATTTTTTTACAATTTATCAATTTATTGAGATACATTGTTTATGTTCTTAAGTATAGTTTTTGGGGAAGATTTGTATATTTATCTCACAATCTTCCTTGTTTTCAAATTGTTTTTCTGAGTAATTTACTGTATGTTTCTCTTGCAACATACTTGCTTCATGATTTTCCTGAAAGCCGTGATGACTAATTCTCTTTAAGATGAAATTCTGAGCAGGGGTTGTGAGTAATATTTAAAATCCTTCATTAGGGATATAATACAGTCCTTATATAGAAACAAAAAGGAAAATTACAGAATTGTTTTTTTCATTTAAAATTGGCCTTAAGATTTATGTTCGATGTTGATCTAATGGTCTTCATAGTATCAAATACATTTGAAATAAAAGAATAATTACATCTGTAGTTTACAGTGTAAATCGTACTCATAATGCAAATCCATAGTGATAGCTGGATGAAAATTTAAAGGCTAAAAAAATGACCATCTATAATAATCGATTGGACAAAGAAAATGTTTTTTTTACAGCTTAATCATGTGTAAGCTGTGTTTTACATATTTGATTTTCAAGAAACATTGTAATTGTTTGTATTCCAGTTAACTAAGCATGTTTTAGAATAGTACAGCCTATTCTAAAATAAAAACATCTTGTTTAGCCATAGCCAGGGTCTTTCCTCAAAGCAAAAATCATAGAGGTTAGAACACAGGATATAGATTTTAATTCTTAACCTTTATTGTATTGTGATTTAAAAATCTTCAACTAACATTGAAAAGTAGCTATGAAAGTACCACACATACTGTAAGTGAAATAAGTGCATATTTTAAGAATGCTTGAATATTTAAAATCTACTTACAGACATACAAGGGAGATTAAACATTTTTATGGGCTTTAAATATTCATTTGCTCAATGATTAATCAATGTGTGGTGGTAGTTAAGAGCCAGAGTTTAAAGACAGGAAATCATATTTCACTGATTTAACATCACAGTCTGTTGCTGCATTCATGTAGTGCTGAAATTGGTGACTATAATTTTTTATCTCCAGTTCCATCTAAATTGTAAGAAAATGTATAATTACTGAAGTGGAAATAATTTTGACAATGCTAATTATCTTTTGTCACTAGATGTGAAACTAGACGTATACATTCAAGTATGACACACTAGTCTTTTTTCACAAAGTTCCTGCTTTAAATCCACTTAAGTTGTCCATCTTGGTAGCCTTAAAATTTCTTTGTGCATAATTCTGCATACCTATTGAGCTGATTTGGCCCTCTGAAGTTTCATCTGAATTATCAAAAGTGCTGATAATAAGCTGACATATAGCAGCATTAGCCTTTTCCGCCTTGATAAAGCCTGT